GAGAGAGAGAGAGAGAGAGAGAGAGAGAGAGAGATGGAAGTCTGGAGCGGCGCAACTGGGCAGATGGTGGCGGGAGTGGAGCTCGGACGTGCGCGCTTGAGCAGCAGCCATGGCTGCGAGTGGGCGTAAGGAGGCGGAGAGTACATAAGGAAAGGATAAAAACACGTATCAAACGTAGGAGGTGCCAGGCACAATGTGTGTTATCCGCCAGCTGAACCATAGCGTTTTCCATATAGTAATTGTTCTTGGAGGGATCGGGGATGCTCTCTGAGAGATTTATGATGCTGAACTACCCAAAATGTCCATGGCGCCTAAGTATACTTTTGGTGTAGTATTCATACATCCAGACCATCTGATCACAAAAAAAGGGCCCAAAACCAGTTGATGTTCTGTAAAATGTCTCATATTCAATTGTATTACAACAAAACAATTTTTTTTCATGAGGTTGGAGTAGATGCTAGATTTTTCGTGGAGAGTACAGTGGAAATGATTCCATAAAAAAATTCACAGGATTCAATTCTACTAATAAAACCACCAACATATGGAAATTTCCTATAAAAGACCTTCAAATCAAAGGTGCCCTTAATTTATCAAGCACATCTGACAACATACACAAATTTCACAAATATACATACGAATTTGATCGGCTCGAACATATCGAATACCACCAATAACACACAGCACAACCCCAGCATCACTGGTGCACTGGCATCACCACGTGAATTTTACGGGAAAAAGTACAAGCCGTCGGCACACCGTCCAACGAAACGCTTGAAAAACAAGGGTGGAAACCGAGGTTTCAACCGTACAAACATCGCCCGTCCCATGCAGGAGCTGCCGGACACCCGAAACCACCACCGTAGTAGTACGGCGCCGTCATCGGCGGGTAACAGCTCACCGGAGCAAAGTCTACTGTGGGGTACAAACTGCTATCCGGCTCGCCCACCGTCGGGTAAATTCCACGGCTCGATGTCTCCTGCAACGGCGGGTAGACCGCAATCGGCTCCGATGAGCTTGAGGACGTGACCGTGTCGTTGTTCACCGGCGGGTAAACCGCGAGGTGCTCCAGTGGCCCCCAGTCTATCACCGGGTACATCCCGGAGGACGACGCCGTCGACTGAGGCAGCGGCGGGGGAGGGGCCGGGCTAGCGGGCGATACGGGCTCACCGTCGCTGCTGCGGTCCTCCTGGTCGTCGTCGACGGTGCTTCCGTGGTGGAAGGCGTAGGAGAAGGAGATGACGCCGTTGGGCTGCCTGCGGTCCTCGGACGAGGCCAGCTGGTAGGAGACGCGGCGCGTCCTGCCGTCGGCGACGAGGTCGGAGAGCGGCACGACGGCCGACGCGGCGAGCACGTCCCCGAGGACGGCCACCTCGGCCTTGAGCTCGAACCGCACGAGAAGGACGCCGTCGTGGTTGTCAACGTGCCCGTCCTTCTTTTTCCCCGCGGCTTCGTCCTCTGAGGCGTCGTCGGGAAGGGGGAGGCGCAGGCGCTCGTCCCACTCGGGGTTCTCGCCGCCGGCGCGGTCGGTGGGGGTCTTGACGCGGCGGCGGCGGACGTTCTTGCGGGCGGACGACGGCGTCAGACAGACGGAGGCGTAGAGGCACGGCGTGTGGAACGGGAGCGACGACCTGACGCCCCGGCAGGACACCCAGGTGATGTCGATGGCCGCCGGCTCCGGCCGGCGCCGCAGGCAACCCATCGGCAAGCTCGTGCGCCCGAGAACTTGACTCTGGCTTGCCTATTTTGCTTGGTGTTGGTTAAGAAGGTGCTGGACGACGCGGTGGCGGGAGACGACTGGAGGGAGGAAGTCCGAGCGACGCTGCGCGTTTGATACCGACGGGAAATCAAGTCGGTAGGTTTGGAACGGGTCCGTGTCAGATTAATGGCGCGGCATTAACTTAGGGTTGCTGTCACAGACTGGAGGAGGTTGCGCGGCAACTTCTTCTTCTATTGTGGAAAGGTACGTGCACGGAGAACACTGATAGAGAGAGAAATCACGAAGACTTTTCCCTTCTTTTTCTGCGAAGGAAGTAGTAGACTTTTCTTGGGTGTCGTTCGTGTCTGGTGGACAAGAACTGCAGTGGAAATCTACAGAGAGTTTTTTTTTTTGTCTACAGGGAGTTGGGGAGAAGATGTCTGTCATCACGATGAAACCTCAAGAAGCAGACAACGAAACCTCATGAAAACATATGTGACGCTTCTAAAGAGTTCCGCGGAACAGTGAGTAAGAAAGCCGAACCATCGCCCACTCGCGGCTCCCGCGTCGCCCATTCGGGGCGACGAAACCCTAGCCGCCCGAGCCACCCCCCTCATCTCCCTCCCTTCCCGCCGCCACTTATGGACGCCGCCAACTGCCGTGCGGCCTCCGGTGAAGGTGGTGGTAAGGCTCTCCTGCCCTACACCGTTGCACTGAGCTTTGGTCGCCGGGGAGGCAGCCCTGCTTATGGCTGGTGCCGTTAACCTCTCTAGTCGCGTAGGCTGCTCAGTTCTCCGGCCTCCTTACCTATGTTACCCTCCCCCCTCCCCACCCACCTTACCCCGCAATCAGGATCCCGGCCTGCTCGGGTTGCCAGATCTGTCTCTCGAAGGTGTGGTGGAGGGAGCCTGAAAGGGGAGAGTCTCCCCTGGTCGACTCCGCATCAATGTCGAACAGACCCAATTGGAACAAAAATGCAAAGGGGAAAAAAACGATGCAGACAACCAAACATGTCTACATTTTTAATAAAAAAAATCCAGCCGAGTGCTTCTATACTGCGCCTAGTGCGTGCAAGACTAGAGCTAACACTCATGCAGGGTGCGACATGGGTTGGCCTATTTCTCTGGGGAAATATCTCTATTTCCCAGGCTGAGAAAATATGTTCATTATTTTTTAAAATATAAAAGTTATATTGTAGAAAATAAAAAGAATTTATTGTACACACATTTATTTATTTGTTATTCTGAAAAATGTTCATCGGGTATTTGCAAAGTTGTTCGTGTATAAATTTATTTTAGTCATGTACGGTTTATGTATTTAAAAAATTTCCATGTTTTATTTAAAAAGGGTTGTATATATGAAGTAAACTATTTTCATCACTAAAGGTCAACGATGTTTATCCTCTCTCTCGCTCTGATGTCAGACAAAGTTGTAGGGAAGAAAAAGATGATGTGGGTGGGGGAGGGTGTCTAATCTGACGGTTACAGGTGGACTAATCCAATGATCGTGGTACAGCTGACGTGTCGCTTGGGTCGGTCGACTGGCACAGAGCGCTGGCCTTCGCTACACTTCTTTCTTGGAAGTTCTTTTACCTGATTTTTAGGGGACTTTTTTATTGACTGGGAAAATGGTTTGGGCAGCCTAGTTGTTGCTTTGTCTCCAACTTGCTCAAGACCCAACCATCGCCTTGCCTTCTCTCGCATCCCTTGGCCTCAGACACGTAGACGACAATGGCTGCCACTTCTGGTTCAGAGCAATGCGCTGACGACCATTGCTGTAGCTGCAACCATCACTGGATGCAGGACCGTCACCGCCCACACTCAACGCCCAAACGGTAAAGTTATTAAACCGAGTTGAACTACACACTGGACCAACCGGGTTGGATTCTACGATTCAAATCGATGAATTACATCGCCTATTTCGGTCGATCGCTGCACCAGGCCTCCGAATGCCACCCTCATGGTTGCTGGATACAACTTCACACACACATGATTCCAAGCAGTCCTCCTTCTCACATGCCTCTGTGGCAGCACATGCGTCCCAGCCACAGCAGGACCCTGCATGTTCACGCTCCGCTCGATGCTCTAGTCGCAACATGTTCGCCGTTCACACTCCGCTCGCTGCACCACCCCACCTACTCCGCGTTGCGCGTTCGCATGAGGAATAGATGGCTTGTCAGTGAAGCATCATATGCTTGCCGGTCCAGTAGCAACATGTTTAATGCCAGTTGAAGCTTTGCCACGCGCATGTCATAGTTTCCAACGCCGTCTGTTGCAACTCGTGCGCGCCCCATCACAGCAACATCACGCGTCGGTCACAACACCTATGCACCACCTTCCAAGCGCCTACGGACCCCTTTGCATCACCCGCACTAGGCCATTGTAGCACTGACACGTGGAGTGTGGCTACCTTGCAGCGCCGAGTTGCCGGTGTAGCGGCAGTGCAGCGCAGTGCGGTGGCCACCGCCCCCTGCGGCAATGTCTCTGCTCTGGAGGAGGTAGGGGACGATGGAGGTTCACGCTTGAGGAGAGATGTGAGAGGAGGATCTCATCCATGAGGGTAGGGAAGGAGCAAGAGGTAGGTGATGGGGGAATGGATTAGCACTCGATAGAAATTAGAATGAGGTATGCAATGAAACAAGTGGCTACGAGAGGTCGTCGACGAGTTAAGGCTTGGATGGGGCCCACAAACAGAGGATGGATGGAGCGTGTGACACGCTGATGCGAGGCGACTGACACGAGAGGTAATCGGTCACCCGATATACATAGATTTCCTAAATCAAAGGAGACCACCAAGGATTACATGTGCACAATGGCTTAAGAATCACCCGATATATATAGATTTCCTAAATCAAAGGAGACCACCAAGGATTACATGTGCACAATGGCTTAAGAAACTTTACGTGATTGGAATTCCAAAAACTATTACATGAGGCAACCTAACCACGTGTCACTTCTGTGATGAAATCTGAATATGAAAGATATATAGGCTGAATCGCACTGCTTTATCAACAAAGAGCCACGTTGTTTAAGCCTCTAAAGCAAAAAAGAGCCCTAACTTCTCTCCTGCTTGTTAGCCACATCATTCAGTTCTGAACTTTGTGTTTGTACTCATCCTTGACTTAATTTTTTGATACATCCCATTCCACACTAGATGACGCTTTGTGTGAGTCTCTGCCATTCACCCTCTTCAGCCTCGTTGCCTTCTACACTTTGCCATTCCCCCTAGCAACTAAAATGATTCTGCTGCGTGGGGATGAAACTGGTTATTTATAGGAGGTCAACAAGTGATAAATGTTGTGCGTGGCCCATATATCATCATTTCTTTACCAAAACATCACATGCTATTTGTTGCGACCTTTTAATTCTACCATGAGTGAGGTACTTCTCGGCATTTGCCCCACTCATGACATATATAAATATGAGCAGCCCTAAGCGAAATGCACCCAGCAAGCCATACTAAACTCAAGCTATTATATAAGTGGATAGTGCTTAGATGAAGTGTGTCAATGATCCTGTTGGAATGGTGGGTATATATATTGCACGAGAAGAGTTCATTTCAATCCAGTTTTGTTAACTTTTTTTTGTATTTGTGGACCTTGATCTTCAAGACTTTTACCTACATCAAGAGAGATTCAGTGAACTTAAACACAAACACGTGAGGGACTTTATTGTGTATTGTACTAGTGGTACCAGAGTAGTAGCTATGCATGAGAAACACATGAAACCTCTTTTTCCATGAATAGATAGTTCGTGCTTTTCAATTAGGCAGGCCAGATAAATACAAGCAACTTCACGCGACATCAAAGGGTAAAAAAACACCCTAAACAAGAGTCACACAAGGTCGGGGATCTGCCGCAGCCCCGTGTCGCCCCCCCGCGGGCGACCCGGGCGCCCAACCCTAGCCGCCGCCGACCCAACCCCATCTCCTTCCTCTCCTCCCGCTGCCGCCGGCGGGCGCCGCCGAGCAAAGCTCGCGCGGTGCCGGCGGCGGCGGGATCTCGCCCGCCTTCGCCTGGAGTAGGGGCCGCGGGGGGTTCCTCCCTCGGGCGCGGCGACGGAACTCGGCGGCCGGCGCGTCGGGTGGCGCGCGCTGGTGGGATCTGAGGCGGCGGCCTCGCTGGTGCGGACGACACTACTCCGACGGCAGGGAGTGCTCGTCGGTGAGGTAGGCCGGATCCCCTCGGCTGCGCGGGCAGCGAGGTCCCGGTGGGCGCTGGTCGTGGCACGGGGAGGCCCCGGGCTCCCCTCGTCAGATCGGAGGCGATCTGATCCGCTCGTGATGCATGACCTCCGGCCGGCCTGGCTCATGTTGTGGCTGGTTCGGAGGTGGCGGCAAGGTGCTTGGCCCGGGGAAACCTTTGGCCGCCGGTGGCGGTCACGGCGTCGATGGCGTCCCGGACGCCATTCCCTCCTTGGTGGCGGCGCCGAGGCTATACCTCCCCTGCCTCCCCCCTTCCCCTACGCCCGGGTGAAAACCCTAGCCCCGGTGGCTAAGCGGCGGCGGCGCCACAGCGTCGTCACCTTCTTGAAGGCGCCGATTTGGGCCTGGGGATGCTGGGTGTGCATGGTGAGTTTGTCTGGTTCCTGGTGGCGGCCCGTCTGATCTACCGCGTTGCTGCTCCGTGGCTGCGGTGCTTATCTTCCGGCCGTGTCTCCGATGGCGACCTCGCCCTTCCTCACCTTGTACTTGCCGTGGTGGAGCGGTACTTCATCTCACTCATTGATAGCGGCGGAGATCGGCGGCATGGCGCCGTGGAGGCTCGGCGTCCGATGCGCCGAGATGGACTCGCGCAGGAGGAGGTAGCTGTCTGGCGTCATGATGACGTCGATGGCTGATGTGGCCTTCACAAGGTAGAAGACTCAATATCATCTGAAGAGGACCTGTGGAAGATGGTGGCGACGACGCAAGAGTGTGTCTGACCGGATTGTGCCCCAGACCCGGTATGTGGCTCGGCTGGGGCTTCCGGCTTTTGATGTTAGGCTTAGGTGAGTAGTTTGGGT